ACCCTAAACCCTAAACCGGAGGAGCTGGGCGTGACCCCTCCCCTGGGCTTCTTTGATCCGCTCGGGCTCAGCAAGTTCGACAATCCGGAGATCGCTGCGCAGCAGTTCCGCCGTAGGCAGGCTTCGGGTTGCTTAGGGGGTGTGCGGCTCTTTGAGGGGTTTAGAATCTAATACAGGGAGGTTTAGGGGAGAAGGTTTAGGGAAAAAAGGCTTAGGCTTTTAGGGTTTAGGGGCCTGAAGAATTACCTTACTATTTTGGGGGTTCCTTATTGTAACTATGGTATAATGGGCCCCAAAACCCTATTCTAATTACTAAGGCCCCTACATTAGGGCTTCTAGGGGTTTAGGGGTCTAGAATGAAGGGGTTAGGGCTGATGTAGGGTGTAGGAGTGTGAGGGTTTTGGGGCTGTCAGGGAGCTTTTGCGAGTTTGGACTGTAGAGGTTTCGGGCTATGGGACGCAAGGGTTTAGGACGATTCCAAGGCTTGAGGGGTTGGATTTATGGCTTTTGTTATTTTGCGGTTTAGAAACCCACACAGATCAAGTCTTCTGGATATTGTTTTGCGGGGTTGGAGCTGTCGATGGGTTTGGTATCGAGCCCGTTTTCCGAGTTTCCGACCTCCTTCACACGTCTGTCTTCAAGGGCCTCAATACCGAGCCCCTAAGCCATGAAACCTAGGCCTGCAAACCCAAAGCCGAAGAAAGCGGACCTACAAAACCCTCTTAGATCTTCATGCCCTAGAAACCCAGACCCCCAAAAGGATCTGAAAAATAGATCCCCTAAAGGGGGTTCCTATAAAGTACCCTTTAGTAGTTAGGGTCCCTAATTAGGGGATCTATTTTTTAGATCCTTTTGGGGCCCTTATGCCCTTAGAAGAGAGGCGGATCGTGGAGCTGCAGCACGGCCGAGTGGCGATGCTGGCGTGCATCGGATGCTGAGACCTCGTCATGCACACCTTTTCTTTCGTTTCCTTAGTTTTAGACTGCCCAACCTTCCACATGGTTTTAGTCTGTTTTCCTTTGTTTTCGACAGCCCAAGCTTCAACATGGGTTTTAGTTTGTTTTGCCGTAGAATTCTTCGAGTTTGCTCTTATTCTTCTCACCTCTTGTTTCTCTGGGTCGGTTTCAATGTTGGCCGAGTTTTATGTACACCCTGATATAATCCCCACTCAACCTTCACTAGCTTCCAAAAAGACGACCAGACTCCAGGATACATCGTCCCTGAGTACGTGCGCTTCCCAGGGTTCTGCTACCTGGAAAGCATGAACAGAGCCTGTAATTAGTATCTGAATAGATAAACTTGGATACGGGCTTCAGGGGTGTATACAAACACAAACAGATACATATGTATATATATAAACACAAATATATGTAGAGAGAGAAAGAGAGAAAGGCTATTCCTACATATTCCTGCCATTGATTCTTTCACTGTGTAAAGGTTGACTCCTTTAAGGATTTTTGGGTAGGGCGGTGATAACGTTGTTTCGGATAGGGTCTTCTCTAGATACACTCGGCAATCCTGTCCAAGAACGCACTACAAGGGCTTCAATGGCCATATACCCCTAAGCCCTAAACCCCTAACTCCGTGGCGCAAGCCGAAATCCCTGAACTGTCTCCAGGTCGTGTATCGTTTCATTTAGGAAGCTTATGTAGGATCTAATTAGGATGTGAGGTCCAGCGAACTGGGCCTACATAGGGTTTAGAGCTTGTAGTACAGAGCTCTTGTCTGCAAGCCCCGTGTCACTCCCAGAAACTCTACAAAAAGCAATGAAAAGCTATACAAAAGCCAGGACGCCCACCTACACCCTGAAGTCTAAACCCGAAACTCTTCAGCCTGCCTTTAAACAGAGCCAGAGAAAAGGACAACCCACTGCATATCCTAAACCCTCTATATATACATATGCATATGTGCGTCTACAGAGAAAAAGAGAAAACGAAGCCCTAAACCCCTAAACCCTAAACCCTAAACCCTAAACCCCTAAACCCCTAAACCCCTAAACCCTAAGAAGAAGAGAAAGCGTAGCCACCCAGGCTCCCCTTCGCAGTCCTTGGCCTTCACGGACATCCCCAACGGCCTCAAGGGTGCTGCGGCAGTGCCGCTTGCAGGAGGGGCCCTGAGGGTGTACTTGGAGGATCATGGGACTTAGTAAGTAAGGTTATAAGTCCCTTAATCGGGCTTATAAGTAAATAGAAGTATAGTTACCTTAATTATAACTTAGTAAGTAAGGTTATCAGTCCCTTAATTGAGGTTATAAGGAAATATAAGTATAGGTTACCTTAATTATAACCCTACTTACTAAGTCCCATGATCCCTAAACCCTAAACCCTAAACCCTAAACCCTACTTACTAAGTCCCATGATCCTTTAAGTGTGCGTCTTCGGACTCCGGGTTCCCAGGACTTTCCTGGGTTTAGGGTTTAGGGTTTAGGGTTTAGGGTATAGGGGCCCCAAACCCTATTCTATTTATTAAGGCCCCTACATTACATTAGTGAAGTTGCCGTTGGGGTTTAGGGTTTAGGGTCAGGGGGTTCAGGGTTTTAGGGCAGAGGTTTTGAGGTTCAGCATCAGAAGCTGATTGAGGCCACAAGGAGTCTTTTCCGGAAGCTTGCTCTTGCGTGAGGTGTCCCTGGTTCACGACTTCAGCTTTTCCGCACTACTATAGGAGCCTAAAGAATTACCAATACTATTTTTTCGGGGGGTCCTTATTTTATAGTTATGGTATACTATACCCCACCTCATTGTAGTTAGAGTATACTATACCCCAAACCCTGTCCTAAGTATTGAGGCTTCTACGTCATCGGTGCTTAGTGTCTCGGAGTTCGGGCTTTTGCGGTTGATAAGTTCAGACTTTTGGGCAACGTGGGCCTTTTTTTTGGGTTTCAAAAACGGTTTTAGGTTTGGGTTTAGGGTTTAGGGTGGGTTTCAAATTTTTCAGGCTCGAAACAAGCTGAGAGCATGTAGGAATAAGGCCACTCCCTTGCTTACGACGACTTCTTCTTCAAGCCCAAACATGCAGGTGCCATCACGGTTTAGGGTTTAGGGTTTAGGGTTCAGGGTGGAGGGTTGTTGGAGTTTCCGAAGACTCTTCTCAGCTAAAGAAGACTTTTTTGAGTGCTAAGTTTAGGGTCAGAAGGGAATCAGGGCTCCAAAAACTATCAGCAAGAATGCTTCCTACACCCCTGAACCCTTAAGCCCTAAAGCCTAAACCCCCACCCCTCACCCCGGCTGGCGAAGAGAAATGCCCAAAAGCCCCACTGGCCGTTGGGCGCTTGAGGCAGCGGAGGTCAAGGGCTTGAGTGTACGGGTTCTAGAAGGGTTTTATAACGGGTTCTTTTCAAGTTTCAAGAACGGTGCCATAAGGCTTTTAGACGGGTCGTTGGTTTAGGGTTTAGGGTTAAACCCTAAACCCTAAACCGTTTAGGGCTTAAGATGTCCATGCGGTTAAGCATTTCAGGGTCGTAAGATTCAGGGTTCAGAATCCTGCGCCGGCGCATCCGCTGCGGCGCCCTTGTACTTCTTGCCAACGAACATAATTTCTACACAAGAAATGGGGGTTTCTGAAACTAGGGGACCCTAGTATAGTACCCTAAATAATAGGATCCTTAATATAAGGACCCCAAAATAAGGTACCCCGAATTTTCAGAAACCCCCAGATGCTGTGTAGATCTTCAAAGTCCTCACGTGCCGTTTCCTAAAACCAGCAACATGTCATGACCCAGCTGGGAATTTCAGAAAACTAGGGTACCTTATTCTGGAGTCCTTATAATAAGGATTCTACTACTTAGGGTCCTATACCAGGGTCCCTTATTTTCTGAAACTCCCAGCTACCCCGGCTTCTGGCAGGATGGCTCCAGATTGTCACCTTCGTGGGCATCATCGAGGTGTCCAATCTTCAGCACGCCGGGTGCACTTGAGGAAGGCTACCCTAAACCCTAAACCCTAAACCCTAGACCGGGAGTCGTTTGTACCGTAGCCGGCCATAAAACAAAACCTCAGCTCTTAGACTCCAAACACTACTTGGAGGATCATGGGACTTAGTAAGTAAGGTTATAAGTTCCTTAATTGGGGTTATAAGTAAATACAAGTATAGTTATCTTAATTGTAACCCTACTTACTAGGACTTAAACCCCAAACCCTAAACCCTAAACCCTAAACCCTTAAACCCTTAAACCCTTAAACCCTTAAGCCCTAAACCCTAAACCCTACTTACTAAGTCCCATGATCCTTTAAGTAGGCCCCTTGGGAGTAATTTCGGTCCTTCTCTGAGGGCCAGAAAAATTTTGCGTACCGGGTATCAAGTTCGGGGTTTGGGATGAGCGGTGTAGGGTTTAGGGTTTAGGTTTGGGTTTTGGGATGAGGGCTTTGGGCTCTAAGGTCACGGGTTTAGGGCTTTAAGGGCATCGGGCCTTGAGCCTTGAGCTTGCTCAAAAAAAAAACCCTAAACCCGAAAAGTGCTTGAGGAACATTCAGACGGACGTCCTCGGCGACTACGGCTACGGTGCTTTCGGACTTCCCTTCGGCAAGAAGATCGAGGAGCTGCAACGCAAAGAAGCTTAGGTCTCTGGCTTACTTAAAGGATCATGGGACTTAGTAAGTAGGGTTACAATTAAGGTAACTATACTTACATTTACTTGTAACCCCCAATTAAGGGGCTTATAACCGTACTTACTAAGTCCCATGATCCTCCAAGTAGGGTTTAGGGTTAAAGAGCTTCTGAACCCTAAACCCTAAACCCTAAACCCTAAACCCTAAACCCTTAAACCCTAAACCCCGGCTTTAGGGTTTAGCGTTGGGGGGCTTCTTAGGGCCTCAGGATTTTTGGCGTTGGGGCTAAAGCCTTCACACCCTCAGCCCCCTTAGCTCTCGTCGTTCAGGGTCACCCGAAGCCACGGTGACTGCTGTACCCCGAAACCCCCAACCGTGGGTTTCGGGTGTAAATTTCAACAGCAAAGGAAAGGAAACCTAGAGGAAGAGGCAAATCATCCAACCCCGAACCCCAAAAGACTGGAGCCGTGGAAACCCTGCGACACCGTGATCATCAGGATTTTTCAAACAAACACTACTTCATCTCTATAGAACCATCAAGTGTGATGCAAGCTTAGGGTATGAGCAAACACTACTTCGTATAAACCTTGTGGCAACCCCTATAAACCCCTTTCCAAGGAAGCCTTCTATAAACCCTTATGGGGGTTTCCGAAAATAGGGGACCCCAATATAGTACCCGAAATAGTAGGATCCTTATTATAAGGACCCCAAAATACGGTACCCTTATATTCGGAAACTCCCTTATAGTTCCTGAAATGATTCCCTAAGCCTTAAACCCTCAACCCTGACCCCTACTTAGAGGATCATGGGACTTAGTAAGTAAGGTTATAAGTCCCTTAATTGGGGTTATAAGTAAATATAAGTATAGGTTACCTTAATTATAACCCTACTTACTAAGTGCCATGATCCTTTAAGTATAGTTCCTTAGATGAGTCCCCAGAACTCTAAGAAATGCCTGAGTAGCTGAGTGAGTACACTTTACACTTTTTGGGACTATATGGGTAGTTGTCAAAATTATGGTCCCTTTTGGGGTACCCTAAATAATAGGTGCCGTATTATAATAAGGACCCAAAAAGGGACCATAATTTTGACAACCACCCATATGATCCCTTATAGAACTGAAAGTGTACACTTTTGGGGGCTTATGAACTCAGCAACTAAGAAATGCCAAAAGAGGACTCCGAGAAGAAGATGAAGAGCCTCAACGCAGAGATCAACAACGGAAGGCTGGCCATGCTCCCTGGAGCCAACTTTTAGGGTTTAGGGTTTGGGATTTAGGGTTTAGGGTTTAGGGTTTAGGGTTTTCGACATGGGACTTTCCGAAAATGAAGGGGGGTATCTTACTTGGGGTCCTAGAGTTTCCGAAAATGAGGGGTACCTTCTTTTGGGGGTTTAGGGTTTAGGGTTATGGGAGCTTCCGAAAATGAAGGGGTACCTTGTGTTGGGGGTCGTTATAATAGGATCCTACTATTTAGGGTACTATATTAGCGCCCCCTCTTTTCGGAGAAACCCCATATTAGAGCTTCTAAGCCCCTAATTCCTACACGTTAAACCCTAAACGTTGAAAGTCATTTTAAAGGGTTTTTTGCAATAGATTACCAAGTGCCTTTTCAGGGTTTAGGGTTTAGGGTTTTAGGGTTTAGGGTTTTAGGGTTTAGGAGTTTAGGGTTCTCCGCAGGGTATGTTATATGGTTAGGCTTCTCTTGGGATTTATGATGGTGTACAAGGGGCATGGTAAGGTCTGCGGTAAGGGCATCAGGGTTTCGGGGTCAAGGGTTTGTAGCAAGGGAAGGAGACTCAAAAGGTCACATAATCATCAGGACCTCGCACTGACAGTTTTTGGAAGCCCCCCTAATGGACCAGACAGTTTAGTAAGTAGGGTTATAGTACCTATTCTTGTAAGTACTTGTTGGCTTAGTTGAGACTACTGATGAACCTTCAAGTACAATGGCCCTAAACCCCAAGGTAGGGGCCGTAATAGTTAGAATAAGGTTTTTTGGGGCTCCTTATTATAACTATAGTATAACATACCTCCGAACCCTGTTCGAAATATTAAGGCCTTTATATGACACCCTAAGACCCTGCACCGTGGCCCTTATTCCCCACAATCTCTGCCTTACACGCCCCCTAGGACTTCCCTGCTGGTTTCTCTTTACGTCACGAATGGAACCCTCTTGTCGGGGTCCGTATACCCCCACGACATACGGCTGATGATGTGAAAACTGCATTTCCCATATCAAGGAATATCCCATGATTCCCATAGTTTAGGGTCTTATAAGGTAGTGCAGGACTTATATCATCAACAGTACTGAACCCCGAGCCCGAAAGCCAAATGAAAGCACAGCCTTTCACCTTGAACCCTGAAACCTAAAACGCCCCGGTAGGACCCTGGCGTGCTCTAAGCACTAAGGCACCTTCGGTGGAACCCTTGTAAAAAAGTTCCCACATGTTCTATGAAGATCGTTAGGGGGCTCTTTGAAGGTCCTTTAGACTTTAGAGGTTCTTTCGGGATTCTGCAAAGGAGAGTTTCAGTTTGTTGTTGCCCTGAGACGGATTCCGAGTGCGAGTCAGCGAGGTTTGCGATCATCGGAATGTTCTTCCAGGATGGCCTGACACCTGGCTGACATTGGGGTTGTACTTGCAGGATCATGGGACTTAGTAAGTAAGGTTATAAGTCCCTTATTTGGGGTTAGAAATACATATGAGTATAGTTACCTTAGTTGTAACCCTACTTACTAAGTCCCATGATCATTTAAGTAGGGTCTGGAGTGTCAGGGGCTTTAAGGGTTTAGGGCTGCATTCGTCTTGACTAACGAACCAGCATGCGGCTTCAGGACCTGAGAGTTTGTCGCGGACCTGTGTTTTCTTCCCGAAGTGTAGTCTTCGCTGCAGGACTGTTGGTAGCATTACCCATCTTCCTGTTGTTGCTACTGCCTTTACTAATCGCAGTCGTTGTGCCGCTTGAATAGTTGTTTCAATGTCATTTTCCTTTTGCTGCACAAGCATACACTGATGACTGCCAGTATCCCAGACCCCCAGAAGGATCTAAAAATTAGATCCCCTAATTAGGGGCCCTAAGTACTAAAGGGTACTTTATAGGAACCCCCCTAGGGGATCTATTTTTTAGATCCTTTTGGGGGTCTGGGATGCAGATGTTGCTTAGGATGGTGAGTCGTTGAGAGCTGATGAGATGAGTGTTGCCAACCATGGCTTCTCCTCATGCAATCGCAGTATGTGCAGGAGTTTTTGAAAGTAAGCTGGTGGTTCTTGTTAAGGGATTTAATCTAAGTTTCCAGAATAAAAAACCACATTAATTACTCAGATCCTAACTTGAAGGCCCTAAACAAGAACCCAGTAAGGGGCTCTGGATGCTCCTGAATAGCAGGATTAACACCTAAGCAACCCTGCTTGGCCTTATCAAAGCCAGATACTGCACCCACGAGTTCTTATCAAAAAAAGCCCGTTCCCCATCCGGAAAAAATTCTGCAAAAGCTTGACAAACACCCTTGCGCAAAAAGTTTTTGGTTTTATGCACTTCAAATTCAAAGAGACTCCCTGAGGCGCCCAAAAAACAGCACCTGCGAAAGCAAGCCGAGGACCGGCTCCGCCTGGGGCGACTGGGCTACCTACACCGACTCGCCTCTGCGCGCTTTCGAGGAGGAGCTGGGAGCTTTTAGGGTTTAGGGTTTAGGGTGGGAGCCTCTGGCGGCCCCGGAAGTTAGCTTGAGAGTGTAGCCTTCTAGGATGTATCTCTTAGGTGTTCACAGTTTTAGTTCGGGCCGGCGTTTAGGGTTTAAAGTTTAGGTCTTCAGGGCTTGAGGGGCTTGAGGGCTGGAGGTAATCAAGTTCGGTGACTTCCGATGCACCACTCCAAACCGAAACGCCCCAGCATTGATCCTGGAGCCCACAGTCCGCACCCCTAAACCCTAAACCCCAAACCCTAAAACCCTAAACCCCTAAACCCCTAAACCATAAACCCACAACGTTCCACAAAATCCTAAGTTCCTCGTCGAGGAGCTGGGCGTGCAAGCTCCTGTGGGCTTCTGGGATCCCGTTGGCTACACCCGCGATGGAAACGTCGAGACCTTCAAGCGCCGCCGTGAGACAGAGATCAAGCATCTTGCAAGGTTAATATGGGAGTTTCCGAAAATTAGGGGTACCTACCTTATTTTGGGGTCCTTATAATAAGGATCCTACTATTTGGGGTACTATATTAGGGTCCCCTATTTTCGGAACCCCATATCGGAGCCTAAGTAATTACCAATACTTTTTTTTGGGGGGGGGTTCCTTGTTATAGATAGAGCACAATATACCGCAAAACCCTATTNNATTATTAAGGCCCCTACATTAACCTGTTGAGGATTGCAGGGCTGATGGTGTCGTCAGTGTAGGCTCTACGATTCAGGGTAGGCTTCGGGACCGTCTGGGGCCACGCATATGTAACCGAAGAGATTGCATATCAACACATAGTTACATGTGTATATCTGGGGACAGAGAGAGAGAGAGAGAGAGGAAGGTTTGTCGTGCTCTCTGCGACTGCAGCATTAGCCTTTCCGCATGAGGGGAAGCAGAAGAGACTGCGCAGAAAAGAAGCCCGGAACGATCCCTAAGCCGCCTAGATCCTGAAGAGGGAGTTGTTGTCCTCAAGGAGGTGGCGCAAGTAGAGGAGCCAACCATACAACTCCAGCCTCAAGTGACTGCGCTTAGGTTCAGAGAAGGACCCGCACTCCCCTCAACCCAAAACCCTAAGCCCCAAACTCCATACTTGGAGGATCATGGGACTTCGTAAGTGAGGTTATAAGTCCCTGAATTGGGGTTATAAGTAAATTTAAGTATAGTTACCTTAACTATAACCCTACGTACTAAGTCCCATGATCCTTTAAGTAGGGTTTTTTTGGGTCTAGGAGCCCTAAACCCTAAACCCTAAACCCTAAAACCCTCTAAACCCAAAGCAGAACGAAGCAGCGAAGGCATGGCCGCGTAGCGATGTATGCGACCGTTGGCTACATCGTGCCTGAGTCTCGGCCCTTGTGAAGGAACGGGTTTAGGGTTTAGGGTTTAGGGTTCAGGGTTCAGGGTTTAGGGTTTAGGGTTTGGGGTTTAGGGTTCACTCTCAATGGAAACAGTGCGTGGTGTAGATCCTGTACACCCTTTAAAAAACCCCAGATGTCCCCAAAACTCGAAGCTCCTTAACTTAAGTTCCGGAGAAATCAACTGAGTTCCCATGTAGTAAGATGCTGCCCTTCTTATTTTGCACTAAGCTAAAATTCCGTTTAGAAACCCGAAACTTTACAAGCCGCAGATCCGCAAAGCCTTCAACCCTCAAGCCTAAACCCTTCACCCGAAGCCCACCGTAATGTAGGGGCCTAAATAATTACAGGTACTAGTTTCCCCTTACAATACCCTTCCGCAGAAATAAACCCTAAGCCCTAAACCCAAAGCCCTAAAGCCCTAAACCCGAAAGCCCTAAACCCCAAGCCCCCTAAACCCTAAGCTTAAACCCTAAACCCGAAGCCCTAAACCCCAAACCCCCTAAACCCTAACCCCTAACCCCTAAACCCTAAACCCTAACCCCTAAACCCTAAACCCTAAACCCCTAAGAACGCAGCACAAGTTTTCATTGGCTTTTGACTTGGCTTTGACAGCTGTTAGGGT